GTTATAAGCAATTCAGACACCCTAAAGGTGAAGAATCATTGCAAAAATGATGAAGGCGTTGAAACACTAAACTTTAGTGACTAAAGGATAGTAGTTACATAGCAGAGTTGAATGAAGCGCCACAGTGGACTGATGACATCTGTATGCTACCGTTAAGATTATGATGTTTAAGTTAATTTTATAACCAGCCACTTTGCTGGAGTTGTTTATAGATTTAGGAGTTCTCTGGTGGAATTTTTGGGGTCACCCAAGAATATTATATCATCAGAAAATAGTGATATTTTGATTTCTTCCTTTCCAATTTGTATCCCCTTGATCTCCTTTTGTTGTCTAATTGCTCTGGCTAGCACTTCAAGTACTATATTGAATAGGTAGGGAGAGAGTGGGCAGCCTTGTCTAGTCCCTGATTTTAATGGGAATGCTTCAAGTTTCTCTTCATTTAGTTTGATGTTGGCTACTGGTTTACTGTATATTGCTTTTACTGTGTTTAGGTATGGGCCTTGAATTTCTGATCTTTCCAAGACTTTTACCATGAAGGGGTGTTGAATTTTGTCAAATGCGTTTTCAGCATCCAATGAGATGATCCTGTGGTTTTTTTATTTGAGTTTATTTATATAGTGGATTATGGTGATGGATTTCTGTATATTGAATCATCCCTGCATCCCTGGGATGAAGCCTACTTGATCATGATGGATGATTGTTTTGATGTGTTGTTCTTGGATTTGGTTTTCAAGAGTTTTATTGAGTATTTTTTGCATTGATATTCATAAGGGAGATTGGTCTGAAGTTCTCGTTCTTTGTTGCAACTTTGTGAAGTTTAGGTATAAGTGTAATTGTGGATTCATAGAAAGAATTGGGTAGTGTTCCTTCTGTTTCTACTTTGTGGAATAGTTTGAAGAGAATTGGTATTTGTTCTTCTTTGCAGGTCTGATGGAATTCTGCTCTAAACCCATCTGGTCCTGGGTTCTTTTTTGGTTGGGAGACTTTTAATGACTGCTTCTAGTTCTTTAGGGGTTATGGGACTGTTTAGATGGTTTATCTGATCCTGATTTAACTTTGGTACTTGGTGTCTGTCTAGAAAATTGTCCATTTTATACAGATTTTCTGGTTTTGTTGAGTATAGGCCTTTGTAGTAGGAGCTGATGATTTTTTGAATTTCCTCAGTTTCTGTTGTTATGTCTCCCTTTTCAGTTCTGATTTTATTAATTTGGATACTGTCTCTGTGCCCTCTGGTTAGTTTGGCTAAGGGTCTATCTATCTTGTTGATTTTCTCAAAGAACCAGCTCCTGGTTTTGTTGATACTTTGTATAGATCTTTTTGTTTCTACTTGGTTGATTTCAGCCCTGTGTTGATTTTCTCAAAGAACCAGCTCCTCGTTTTGTTGATACTTTGTATAGATCTTTTTGCTTCTACTTGGTTGATTTCATCCCTGAGTTTAATTGTTTCCTGCCGTCTACTCCTGTTGGGTGTATTTGCTTCTTTTTGTTCTAGAGCTTTCAGGTGTGCTGTCAAGCTGTTAGTGTATGCTCTCTCCAGTTTCTTTTTGGAGGTACTCAGAATTATGAGTTTGCCTCTTAGCACTGATTTCATTGTGTGCCATAGGTTTGGGTATGTTGTGCCTTCATTTTCATTAAATTCTAAAAAGTCTTTAATTTCTTTATTTCTTCCTGGACCAAGTTATCATTGAGTAGAGCATTGTTCAGCCTCCATGTGTATGTGGTCTTTCTGTCATTTTTGTTGTTATTGAAGACCAGCCTTAGTCCATGGTGATCTGATAGGATGCAGGGAATTTTTTCAGTCGTCTTGTATCTATTGAGGCCTGTTTTGTGACCAGTTATATGGTTAATTTTGGAGACGGTACCATGAGGTGCGACCCATGACTCCAGCCGCATATGTAGCAGAGGATGGCCTTGTCCGTCCTCAGTTGGAGAAGAGGCCCTTGGTCCTGTGAAGTCTCAATGCTCCAGTGTAGGGGAATGCCAGGGTGGGGAGGTGGGAGTGGAAGGGTGGATGGGTAGGTGAGCACCCTCAAAGAAGCAGGAGGAGGAGGGGATAGGGGGCCTCCAGGAGGGAAAACTTGGAAAGGGGATAACATTTGAAATGTAAATAAATAAAATATCAAATCAAATCAAATAACAAATACTGTCAAGGGTGTGGAGGGAACAATAGTTATATACTGTTAGTAACTGCACAAACTAGCACAGCTCTATAAAATCTGTATGGAAGTTCCTCAGAAAATAAAACAAAACAAACAACAGCAACAACAAGGAGTATGATGCCGAGCCGACAGTGGATGTCTTTGGTCCCAGCACTTGGCCAGCTGAGGCAAGCAGATCTCTGAGTGGAGGGTTAGCCTGGTCTACAGTTCAGAACAACCAGGACAACAAGAGAAACCCTGTCTTCAATGACCCTCCGCCCCCAGAAAAACAAAACAGTACAGTGCTGAGAAAAAGCAAGGTGCAGGAATATTGTGTAGCAAATCAATCTTGGGAGCTGTAAGTCTCTGCCTATTTTCTGATATTTTTCAAAACAAAATCCTGGGAAGGTAAAGCAGGAATTAGTAAAAGTGGTTTCCTAACTGTGGAGGGAGAGGACTCAGAATTGTCCAGAGGTGGGAGCTGGCTTCTTTGAATGTATTTTGCTCCATACTTTTTGTTGTTTTGCTTTTTAGTTTTATGTAAAAGATAACCTTTAATGATAACTATCTCTTAGTATTCAGACCCTTGTGATGTCCTACCAACAGGGTACCCTGGTTGGGTTGTGTGATACCTTCCACAATTAGATTTTAGACACAATGTAGCTTCCTTTTTGCCCTTTCTCTCTCCTGGATCATGTGTTCCCTGGGAAATTCTTTGCTCTGCCAAATAATAACACATGAGAATGTGAGGCCCTATGAAAGCCCTGTGAGGGGCCATCTTGGAAGCCACGCCTCCAGCTCTGAACCAACCTTAAGGTGCTTGCAGCTTGGTAAGAGAGTCTGCCTTGATCACCTCTAAACTACGACTGCTATGCTAAGCCACCCCAGGTTTCTGACCACAGAAAACTTTAAGAAAATATATGTTTGTTGTTTTACACCACTAGTTTGTTATATAAGCTGTTAAGCTGTAGTGCATCACTAATTTGAGAACTGTAAAATTGGTTTTTAATAATTTAAAAACTGAATATAAGCAAAAAAGAAAAAAGAGATAGTTTTTAAAAATTGAAGATGAACTGGGGGGGGGGAGAGGGGAGGAGCCCAACTGTAAAGCTACTGGCAAAAGTACACAGTAATTATTTCAAGTGACTTATAGACAGAGTATTTTTGCTATGTATCCCCCTGTGTTTGGGTCCCAAGGACAAAAATAACTAGATAAATCTTAACTGGCACCCAGTGATCTGATTGTCACTAATAACATTACTATTATTATTCTGGAACTCTATTTGTATAGAGGAGTAAACTAGATAGGTTAGTATGTTAACACCATTAAGACCTAAGATTTACACATGAGAAGAGAGACGTAAATCAAGGAAATTAACTGGAAACCCTTTTACTTCTTAGACTGGAAATAGAAGTTTCTCATAATTTCCTTTCCTTTTTTTTTTTGTTTTTGTTTTTGGTTTTGGTTTTTCGAGACAGGGTTTCTCTGTGTAGTCCTGGCTGTCCTGGAACTCACTCTGTAGACCAGGCTGGCCTCGAACTAAGAAATCCGCGTGCCTCTGCCTCTCAAGTACTGGGTTAAAGGCATGTGCCACCACCGCCCGGCCATAATTTCCTTTCCTAAAAGGCACGACTTTCTTAGTCCTGTTCAATGAAGAGACAAGAAAGAAGTTATACCAGAATGTCAGTCAAGACTGCATGCAGATTGTGATGTTTAAATATCATTTAAAACAGATAAACGTTCAGAGCTCCTTAGAGAAATGGCTAGTTTCTGTTCCGAGGCTGGATAGATACAAGATGACTGTACACTTTCTAAGGAGCTGTTACCGGCACAGGAGAGAACAAATGGCTCAGGATAAACAGTCTGAACTTCAGAAAGCACAACGGTTGTTAGTGTGGTTCAGTGGAAAGGGAGCTTGCTTAGCATGCGCAAGGGCCTAGGTTCAAACTCTAGCACCTCATTTCTCGAAACAAAAGAAAACAAAACAACTTGTATCTGCAGAACACTCTACATATTGATGCATAATTTTAAAAAAGCCCATGGAGTTCAAGATGCAAATAAATAAATAAATAAATAAATAAATGTATGTATATATGTATGTATGTTTTGGAAGTTTCTGGGATGCCACGTTAGTAATTATAAAATTGGCAGATGAATGGAAAACCTGCATCTTGCTTTTCTTTTATGAACTCTTGGAGCATCCAGAATGATAGTCTTATGTTAAATGCATTCAGGCTCAGAAAGAGCATTGGGGTTGGGAGATAAGCTTTTAGTGAAGGGATAATTTGAGATATGCAAATGCTTTTGTCATCGGTGTGGACAGCTCAGGCTTGTACAATTCATAAATGTTCATCCAGCCATTTGCTTAGTATTCATGTGTTTCATTGCATCCTGGCTTTTGTAACCGTACAAAATAATGGACTTCATTTGGACACTCTCCATAACTCTTCATTTGGATATTGTATATAACATTGTAGTGATATTCACTAGCCCATGACTCTCTCCTGTCCTTCTTTTCCCCTCTCGTTGGTCCCCTTCTTCCCTGAAAATAGCCTCCCATCTAATTTAGATAAAGGGCACCTCATTCATTTCACCACATTTCTAAAAATTATAGGCCTATGTCATCATGTCCACTTTGAGGGGAACAGGGATGGAACCAGGGCCGCTCACTTGCTAGGCACAGACTGCTGTCATACTGTGCCTCCTGCACCTATAGTCTAGATTTTCACTGGAAAGTCTGTAAGCCACATATCTGCTTTGCGGGTGGCTTCCTGCTTGCCTCTGGCTATGAGGGGCATAGAAGGGAGTGACAGGCTCGAGGAGGGTGAAGAAACTTAAATGCTTTCTCTTCTTTCCTGTCAGCTTCCTGTGCCTCTCAGTTTCCCCCAGAGACACTTGTCCTTGGCAGCTGTGCCTTCCTTGGGTGTCCAGCCGAGTTGTTTGCAGTTAACCAGCTACAGAAAATGTCAGCCTGAGGTGAGCAGCACCCTTCCTGGGGCCTGGGCCCAGCCCCAAGACGCTTCTCCTCCCAGTTTCTAACTACAAGTTCTATCATTTTCGCAAACTCCATTCCTGAGACAGTCACTGCTTCCTATAGTCACTGCCTCCATAATACCATCGAGTGTTCTTTATCCCCTCGGCTAGTTACTTAACATTATTAATATGGCCTCAGACCCTTGACTAGCTCTTGACTGACAGAGACTCTTATTTGTCACTGGTGAAGCATTAGCCCCTAGAGTTCCTGCTAGCAGTTGCAAGCTGGGCCAGTGTATGTTAAAGGAAGAGGGGGCAGTGTCTGCAGCACAGCCAAATGGCCTTTATAAAACAATTGATTTCTTGTTGCACAAGCCTTCATTGTCTTTGAAAGACAGTTTATTGTTACAATAAGATTGCACCCCACTCCAGCCACACTCCCAATCCCGATTGCCTTCTCTTCATCCCTCTCATGAAGCAACTACTATATTAGTTAGCCTTTATATGGACTTTTTTAACATACAAGTATTTACTATTTTGAAATGTATGGCATTTCTGTAGTTTTTTAAATTCCAGTTCATGGTATAATGATTTTTTTTTCAGATTTCCCTTATTCGCTAAATAATTTCTTTTGGAAGTCATTGCACACAGTTTGTTTCTTTTTAACTGCTGCATACTAGTTCTCAGCATGTATACAGCATGGCTTATTTCACAAGGTGCCCTGTTGTAATTATCACAAAAGCTCTATGATTAATTCAGTGTCCTTGTTCTTTCTCTAGGATACATTCAGAGTAGTAGAAATACAGAGTCAGAAAGAATGTGTATTTTAAAAATTGCAGTAGATGTTAACAAATATGTTCTCTTAAAATACAGTTGAGAAGCTGAGTAGTCGTGGCACGTACCTTTAATCCTAACAGAGGCAGGTGGATGTCTGTGAGTTTGAGGCCATCCTAGTCTACAGAGTGGGTTCCAGAACAGACAGAGCTGTTATATAGAGAAATCCTGTCTTGAAAAACAAACAAAACAAAAAATATAAAGTTGCAGTTTTTAAGTATATAGAGAGCCTTCCAAGTTCCTTCTGTCTTGCTGTATACTTAAAATCAGAAAGTTTTCAGCTGGCTTGCTACCCTTCTGCTGACTTGGCTGGTAGGTACTACATAACAAGGGTCAAATGGGTAAGAATGACATTATTTAAAGAGCTGTGAACATGGGATCAACATGGTACCGGTGCTCAAGAGCTGAGTTCTACAGGATGATGTCTAATCTAAGGAGCCAAAGGACAAACCAAGCCACCTGAGTGGTAGGTAGGCTATTGAGCCATGCAGAAGCCAGATCTCACTGCACAACAGTGGTATCCTAGTATGCCTCAGAAGCCTGCAGATGTCCTTGAGCTAGGAATCAGAGAGGATGGAAAAAACTGTCCTCCCTCAGACAGAAGATGGGTGAGAAATGGCCTTGTGGCAGTCTCCCACAAGATAGGGACAAGGAACTCCCTTGCAGCAGCCCCGGTCCTTATCTCTGCCTGTTCCAGGAGCAATCACAGGGCACTCTGCCAACTCCTTTCAGACTGCAGTTAAACCTTGTTCATGTGGCCTAGATGAAGATGTGCAAAGTCATCAGTGTGCTATACTAGGGCCATTTCCCTACACTTGGTTGCACAAAGCTTTTCTTGGTCTGTATTTTGGACTAAGGGACAGTCCAATTTTTAAACCGAGTTCCCAAATTTTCCAACTCTGACTTCTTTTCCTTTCTGGTCTTCAATCAGTCAGTTCTTGCCTGAGTTCCACCCCCCCACACACACACACTTCTTCCCTTCCTTTTTTGCTCAACATAGCAAATAACCACCAATGCACACCCCACATTGCCTTCTGTCCCCTTTCCATGAAATTATTGGCACAGGAGGCATTTTGTATGGCTTCCAATTTATCACAGGTGACATTTTAATCAAGAATTTTGCTGCTTTTTAATATGGCTCTCCATCTTTCTGCACTCCAGTATCAGTCCACTTACTGCCCACTGTTCAGAACCCTCCAAAATGCAGTTGCTCATCTTATGGTACTGGGCAGGTGAACAGGTCAAAGTGTACTCCTCTAAACAGTCAGAAACCCTGGCTGACAAGGACTCTGTTGCTTTCAATACATAGTCATCATTGAGAGGACAATGCAGATTCATGGCCATTGCAACAAACTGGAAGGGGAGAAATGTAGTTAAGACTATTGGAGTTTTATAGCCAAACATTTCTTCTCATATTCTACCAATTGTCATCTTATCATATGGGCTGGGGATGTGACTTGGTTGGTAGAGTACCTAGCATACTTAAAGCTCTGGGATCCATCCAGCAGTGCTAATATGGAGTATGGGTGGTGCCCTCCTGTAATCTCAGTGCTTTGAAGGTAAGAAGCAGGAGGATCAGATGCTCAAAGTTATCTTCGGGTATATATTGAATTCCAAGCCAGCTAGCCTGGGCTACATGAGACCCCTGTCTTAACACACGAACACCAACACCACCAACAAAAAGCCATCATTTCATTATATGGCTACATCTGCCTACAAAGGAAGCTGGAAAAGGTGTGGCCAGGAAGAAGAGGCAAGCATGGCTGAAGTGAGCAGCTAATGTCTGCTACAGGTGCTCTGGTGTGTGAGGATGGTGAGAAATGACCAAGCTGTGAGGTTTTAGTAAAGGTAGAAGTACCAGAATCTGTTGATTCCAGGGTATCTGCCTTGAATAATTGGGAAGAATAGAGTAACCATATAAGATGGTAGATGATGAAAACTCATGTAGTTTTGAGATGATTGTAAACTATGCACATGGAGACATCAAACAGACAGTTAAATAAACAAGTTTACATCTCAAAGGTATATTCAAAACTGGATATGTAAGAGTACAGACCTTTGAGACAGTGACAGTTGTTAAAGCCACTAGACTCTCTCTAAACATGAACTTACATTCCTAACATTGAATTTTATTCATTCTGCAAAGTACATTTTCTCATGCCTTTGAAATGGAATGCATTTTCCAACACTCGGTGGACTCTTCCATTGTTGTGATTGGTAGCATCTTCTTTGTCAGTGGCATTAGATCTAGTGATGTGTCTTATAATAATGGTACCCCAGGTTCAATAAAATATAATAGCAGTTAACAGCTGATAATATGGAATACTGAGTACTGAACACCAGGTACCCCGTCAGTCCATCCTATGACTATGTTTATATGTAGCTATAATATAGAAAGGTGAAAAGTGGTGGTTGAGGAGATAGCTCAATAGCTAAAGAATTGAGTTCTATCCCCTGAAACCAACATGAAAAAAAGCCAGATGTGGTGGTATATGCTTACAATGGTGGCAATGGGGAGATGGACATAGATGAATCTCTGGGGCTCACTGGCCAACCAGTGTAGCTTTCTTGTCAAGTTCCAGGTCAGTGAGAAACCCTGTCTCCAGTGGGGAGCTGGAGAGATGGCTCAGTGATTAAGAACACTGGCTTCTCTTTCAGAAGACCCAAGTTAATTTCCAACATCCACACCAGTAGTTCATAACCACCTGTAACTCCAACTCCAGGGGATCTGAAACACCCTTCTGGCTTCCAACAGGACTCCCACACATGTGTCACACACACACACACACACACACAAATCAAAATTTAAAAATTAGAGGAGAAGGACAAGAAGGAGGAAGAGGAGGAAAAGGAGGAGGAAGAGGAAGAAGACGAGGAAGGGGAGTAAGAGGAGGAGAAGGAGGAGGAGGAGGAGGAGGAGGAGGAGGAGGAGGAGGAGGAGGAGATCTCCAGAGGATCGAAACTCAAGGTTGTCTACTGGTTTCCATATCAAAATACACACACACACACACACACACACACACACACACACACATACACACACACACACTCTACATGTGTAACTCCTACAGAAAGGCTAAGAACAGTCATGAGGGCCCTATCATGTAGATCTAAATTTTGACTCTCAAATGAAAAAAAATCACAGAACCCTGACTAAATGCTTAACCTATTTATCTAAAATGTAATGACAGTAGTACCCAACTTAAGGCTGATTCCAAGGATTACAAGAGCTATTATGGGTGATAAGAGGAGTGATTAGTAAATAATAAATAATGAATGATAGCCATTGGTTAAAATGTGAAAACTGATATATGCATACAAACAATAAGTAGATATGGATCTCTCTATACCTTACTGAATGTGTTTTGTACATCAGAACAAAAGAGTGATCTTTTTTTGTTTTGTTTTGTTTTAGACAGGGCCTCTTGTAGCTCAACCTGGAATATCTGATCCTCCTGCCTCCAAAATGCTGGGGTTAGATGTAGGCCTCTGCCTTGTGTAGTTTTATGGGGATTCTTGGGATGGCTTTGTGTGTGCTACCAACTACCTGAGCTATAGGTACAACCCGAATTCTGTCTTCTAATAAGAATAGGAGAATTAGGACCACCATTATGCATTGAAGCATTTTTGTTGGAAATAAATGCTTCAGCTGGCTTTTGATTAGTATTAAGACAACAATACCAATTTTTTTTTTTTACTTTTGTTGTTTTTTGTTTTGTTTTGTTTTTTGAGACAGCAATTTACTTTGCAGCTCTGGCTGACTTTGAACTCAGAGATCTATTTGTCTTTGCTTCCCAAGTTCTGGGATTAAAGACAAGGCCATCTTTTAATCTTTCAATGCCTTTAATATTTAAAATGGGTTCTTTTAAGACAACAAATAGTAGGTATTTTCTTTTAATCCCATCTGACTAGCTCCTTCCTTCTCTTTCTCCTGGTTCCTGTTCCAGCTCCCACCCCATCATCTAGCTTGCATGGTCTCTCTTTTTTTTGTGCTGGAGATGCCATACATTGTAAGTCTTGGTTCTGTCGCTGGTGTATTTGGACTACTGACGCTTCAAGTGACTATCAATATAGCTGTATTTCTGTCTCCCATGTTTGTTATTCCTTTCTGTTCATTGACCTTGTTCTTTGATCTCTTCTACTCTTTTTCAGCCCCTTCTAGTGTTAAT